TCAACATAAGTACACATACGTCATGGTTCAGACAAACAGACCAGATAGGTTCCAACCAACAAGCTAAGTTGGAGAGAACATTGTTCTGGCACCCTTTATTTTTGGTACATATTGTTCTGAAACATTTTACACAGTGTCAACTAAGACTCCAGACCCAAAAGGCCTCTGGTTTGTAGCAGTGTTTTGATGCTAGCAGTAGTTTATACAATAAGATGGCATTTAAGAGTTAAGACACCATACCTTTAACATTATCTTACATCAACATAAGTACACATACGTCATAGTTCAGACAAACAGACCAGAAAGGATCCAACCAACAAGCTGAGTTGGAGAGAACATTGTTCTGGCACCCTTTATTTTTGGTACATATTGTTCTGAAACATTTTACATAGTGTCAACTAAGACTCCAGACCCAAAAGGCCTCTGGTTGTAGCAGTCAAGATCATTGCCATAACCAACTCTCAGTATGTTACAATACCTCTTGTAGAATCCAATCCTATCCTCTACCTTTGCATTCAAACCCTTGCCACATTCAAGCCCACCGTTGATGATATTTGTCACCACGCCATACCCTGGAACCCGTCCGGCTGCCCGATCACTTGTAGATGGTGACCATCTTCCGATTATCACATCATGGCACGAAGGCTTTGGTGACTGCGCTATCATCCAAAACCAAATTGCTGACTTGAAGGATATCACTGCATCAGTTGTAAGCAGGTCTGGGTTGTGCAATAGGTCCACCCCAATGGCTTTCCCACACTGTCCATAGTTATAGTTCCTTAAAAGAAAAAAGCAGCAAATATTACATCATTGTAGTTCACATGTTAATGATTTATTTTGTACAAACTTTAGTCTTAAGAGTATATGATATATAATTAAGAGCTTACCATGATAGTTGCATTGGACCCCTGCCAAAGTACTGCTTTCCGGGAGCACAAGGATATGTTGGACTAGAGGCACAATACGGTGAGCCAGGGTTTTGTTCTCTGTTGTAGCAATATCCCCAAGCATAAGGACTATCTGGGGCACTAGCCCACCCACCTACATATATATGCCTCTTGGATTATGTACATGAATGGAATTAGATGAACAATTTATGTCAAGCTATAAAGAAAGAATCAAATTCAACAAACCAGTAGTTTCATGTGAAGTTTGGGCCAAGAAGGCAGCAATTTCCCTTTTGCGAGTGGCATCATCACCTGTTGTACCAAAGGCAGGAAAGGCCTTAGCAGCTGCGATGAAAGCATCATAGGTGTAGAAGCCCTTGGCAGGGCAACCAGCATCATTTCTGTGCTTAAGCATTTCATCAAACATTGATCTTGTTATGAGACCGCCAACGTCACCATTGGCACTATCACTTGCACATGGTGAACACTGGCTTTGGCAACCAGCTCCACAGTAGTCACAAGTGGTGCCACACCAACCCCATTGGCTACAACACAAACCTCCTGGGCACGTCGCACCTCCTGCCTGCGATCCACACTGCTCAGCTAAGCCTAAGACAAGTAAGGAGGACAAGAATAAAGATAAAATTGACAAGGTGCAAATGCTCATTTTGTGAATACCAAGGAAGATTTTCGTTGATTTGTGTGGGATAGGTCGGAGAGGATGGATGTACATATAGTAGGAGCAAGTGAGCAACCTTTAGCTAGAGACCAAATTAAATTTGGCAAAACTCTACCTTAAACCCCCAAACTTAACTTAAATTCTTGATTAAACCCCTCAACTTTTATTAAAGTAAATAAATCCCTAAACTTGATAATTTGGACAATTAAACTTTATTTCTTTACATGTTTATTTGTGCTTCGCTTGTGTGAATAATGTATTAATATGTTATTGCCTACATGACAAGTATTAATCTTATCTAGGTAAATAAGACATAAACGGGTGTTAAATTTAAATCTATTAAAAAAAAAGGGTCAAATTGTCTAAATTGACTTATTTGCTTCAATAAAAGTTTAGTGGCTCAATAAAAAAATTTAAGGTAAGTTTTGGGCTTAAGATAGGGTTTTGCCAATAAATTTTGATATCGATTCTTGACTTGTTCAATTTTTGCTGATTTAAGCATCTTATCCATTGAGTATTTATTAGCAAAAGTTGAGAAGGAAATTATTGGGGCGGCTACTGCACACTTTATCTTCTTGTTCATGAATGGTGGGACCTACCAATATAAAATGCATAATGACATTTGTGAAATGTCACTGTGAGCTTGAATACTACAATAAATCCAACCTAAAAACAATTCATAATAAGTGGGTACATATTATATTTAAGTACATATATATATATATTTTTTTTCAAACTTTGAATGTGAGATTTTTCCGTTTAACCATCTTTAAAATAAAGGAAATTGGGTTTAAAAATTAGGTTACATCAGTAGCTAGAACTTATTTAAATCCTTGTATCAATCACTGATGCTATACAATTGTAAAGAAGATACACCTTCTCAATCCAATGATGCATCTGTGCCCAAATGAACATTTCCATGCCTAATATATATATATATATATATTGATAATAAAGATTTCCATACCTAATATTTTACCTTTATAAAACATTTTAGTTTGGTGGATCATGTTCTTTGACTTTGACCATTTCTCATTCCAGTGGTGATCATGTTCTTATCTTGTATCATGATTATGCCCTTTTTCTTTCTAGAGGAAAAATTAAGCCTTTCCCCGAGGTTTAACAGTATCAAGATAGGCAGCAAATTATACGGTTCAAATTTTGGCTGCAACCATGTAGATATCCACCTGTTCATACTTGGGAAAAATATGGTTTAAAAGGAATTAATGCTCTTGAAAATGGAAAGAAGATATATGACAGTAAAATTTGTTGAACTGAATATGTATTTTTTATTCAAATACGTGTCTATTTCAATCATTTACATTACAAATAAACAAAACTCTGATATATATTTTTTTTCTTTTTTGATCTAGGGGTTGAGGATGTTGAGAAGGGAAACTCTTGTTTTGATCAAATGCCTAGACAAGCAGTCAAGTCCTTCTTCGAGACCTTGAATGCATGCTACCAAGTCTATTAGCTGGGATTGCATCTCCTTATGAATCACATTTTCAGATTTGATTATCTTGGCAGTAGCATCCACCTTTTCAAATTCCTTACGGTTCCTCTCTTGTTCATTGCATGCAATTCTTTTGGGATTAATCAGCTTGGAAAACAAAGACTGGCTCTTAGCCTCTAATTGACCTTTTGTCCCATAGATCAAGGACAACAAAGATCCAAAGACAGAAATAGTGACTGCTTCAACTTGTTTTAACATGCCAACGATGCCCTTGGTCTCATTGTCATGCAAAGAAGAGGAAGTGCATTTAGCTTCCATAGTCTTCAATTTAGCCAAGGCCTTGTTGATGGCCTTTTTTACAGCTTTCTTGGAGGTCAAGTATTTCTTCATCCCAGCTGCAATCTCTACTTCACCACCGCATCTTCTACACAAAACTGATTGCAAATCATGTGAGTTTTCCTTTGCTTGCACCACAAAATCCTTGGCAGAGCTATAGAGATCCAAGATCTGAAGAGACCCATCCAACAACTCATCAACCCATTTCCAATTTTTCTGTTGGGATAAAACTTCTTGGGTGAATGGCAGCTGAAGAGAATCATCAACACAATCATGCAAATCCTGAAGGTCATTTAGTTTATGGCTGATGGATGATGATGTAGAGGCTGCTTCAGAAGACCTCAACCTGCTGAGATGTTCATCAATGTCTGAAGCAAGAGGGTGTGATCTAGAAGGAAGGCTGTTAGAGCGAACATGGTAGCAAGTTTGAGAAGCCATTTTATCTGCCTGGTAGTTCAATGCCTGCAAAATTGTGCTGTTGATCACCTTACACCTTCTGATGCATGTATATATACCAGTTATCACCTAATGCTAACATTACTTTGATTTGGATCTAAACATGAACATAGGCAATGTTTAGTCAATGTCTCCTCTCCACCAGGATCTCGAACCAGGCAGAAACTATTTTTAAACAGCAAAGATTGATGAGATTCTGTGAAATAAGGCAATACCATATAATTTGCAATAGACAAATGGTAGTGTTATATTCTGTCCCCTCTAAACAAGAGCAAGCAACAATTTTAGTTCTGTTATGAGAATAAAAGATATGTTTTGTCATACCAAATCTTCAAAGAGAGACCATTTACTATGCTATTCATCATTCTAAATGAATGAGTCTATGCAGGATTCTTGATGTGATTGTTTTGCAAGAGACAGGAAAGAGCTACATTACTGGCTTGCTTGTTCTCACCATGTCTTTCTGAAATTTGAAAATGTGATGAGTCTGCGGCTGTTCTTCTAGCATGCAGACACAAAAGATTATTTTTCAGTGAAATATGAATAAATCATGTGACTATCATACAATTTAGATTAGTTTTTCCTTGTTTATTTCCAGACAAAAGCAAACTTACAGCTATCTCATCAATATTTACATCTGCTACCCTTCAGGACTCAGAAAACAAAGATATCATAACAAGGCAACACGAAAATTATTGAGCATATTATTAGTAAATAATTTCATTCTTCTAGGATTAACTCACTTTTTAAAATCTTGGAATTCACTGTACAACTAGACCAGGCATGTAAGATTTTTAAGTCAGATTAATTTTCAATTACAAGAATTGATAAATAAAAATGATTGATATATATCAAGTAAAAGCTGTTTCTTTTTTGTTTTTTAGTTTTCATTTGCAAGTGAACAGAAAATTAAACATAAAGTAATCTAACTTTATGATAAATGAATTTCTGAGGTTGGAAACAATTTAACTTGTAACCAAAGAAAAAAGGAAGAAAAAAAAGAAGCCAAAATTTTGTGGAGAAAAAGTATATTTATCTTTGTTGGTCATAGAGGTTATAATTACATGTACGCAAAATTGATATACAAGTATGATCATGGAATTTAAGTTTACTGGGTAAGGAAGTTGAGAGCAGTGACTCTAACTTTTATCAAATGTCTAAACAGACAGTCAATTGCATCTTCAAAATCCTGAATGCACATTTCTGAGTTTTGCAGCTATAGCTGTGCGGCTTCAATATGCGCTAAATTTTCACTTTTGCTTGTTTTGCAACTCAAGAGGGAAACGACTGCAGCTTCAGCATTGGCAATTTCATTTTCGTATTCTCCTTCCTCACCTCCAACTCTTTTGTTGTGAATCAGCTTTGAAACTAATGACCAGCTGCTGAACTTTGATTCTGCCTCTTTTTCAGAGATAAAGGACAACAAGGTCTCTAGCACTATCATAGTAGCTGCTGGAACCTCTTGTAATGTTCCAAAAATGGTTTCCATCTCACTATCCTTGTTCAAGGAAGAGTTTTGCTTCAAACTCTTTAATGCCTTGTGGACTGCCTTTTTCACTACCTTCCTCAATTTTATGTATTTCCTGACATTATTTACTAGCCTCATTTCATCCCCTCGTCTTCTATGCAAAGTGGATTGGAGTTCTTGCGTGCATTCCTTTGTCTGTGACAAGGCATCCTTGGCTGTGCTTCATCCTTCCAAGGGCCTAAGAGATCCATCCAACAGCTTCTCAACATATTGCCTCTGCTGCTCTTGGACTAAAGACTGTTGAGTCAGAGGCAAATGAAGCAATTTATGGACACATTCATTCAAATCCTGAATTCCATTCAGTGAATGGTTGATTGAGGATGATGTAGAGGTGGACTTCGAAGCCCTTAATCTTCTCAAATGCTCATCAATCTCTGAAGTGAGTGGATGTGCTCTAGAGGGTAAGCTGTTGGACCGAGTGTGGTAACATACCTGGGTGTTTGGAGGAACAATAGCCATTGTTTCTTTGTGGAGAAACAAGAAGGTGTTTCGAAGTTGATATTGTTTTTCTCTAACTTGCCTTCCATTGTATGGCATCTTCTCTCTATAAATATTACATAACAAGGGAGATAACAGGAATCTGTACAGCTGAACATATCAGAAAATGGTAACATGATTTTGATTTGGATTTAAACATTATTTCAGCCATGTTTATGCCATGTCTCCTCTCCACTAGGCCTTTAACTCATTCAGTTACCATAAAATTTGCTTGCATAAGTGCGGTGGATGTGGACAATAGACTGATATATTAATCAATCAATCAAGTAGGCTCTAAAGGGATTGTTTTACAAGAGGCAGGCAAGATCCCCATTCTAGCTTCTGCCATCACTCATAGTGTTAGAAATAGCAGATGGGCAGCATGGAATGAGGCTGCATTCTCCAAACACGAAGACAGCATGTTTTTATTTTCTTAAAGTATGTGAAATTTGAGAGAGAAATAAATGGATATATCATCATATATGTAGCTTCAGCATTTGCAATCTCATTATCATGCTCTTCTTCACACCCTATTCTTTTGTTGTGGAACAGTTTTGAAACAACTGACAGGCGACTTGTTTTTGATCGTCCCTCTGATCCAGATATGAAGTGCAACAAGGATTCCATCACATTGAGAGTGACCACTTGTGCCTCTTGGAGGATGTTCATAATTGCCCTGGTTTCACTGTATTTGTTCTGTTTGATCTTCAAATTCTTTAAGGCCTTCAAGACTGCCTTTTTCACCGCCTTCCTAGAGGCTAAATATTTCCTAACCTCATAAGTGATTTCAGTTCCTTGCCTTCTGCGCAAAACTGATTGAAGTTCCTGTGTGCATTCCTTGGTTTGCAACAAGGAATCCTTGACAATAGCACATACATCAAAGAGCCTGATAGATCCATCAAGCAGCTCATCAACATATTTTTGATTCTGCTCAAGGCCTAAAGCTTGTTGGTTGAGAGGCAGTTGGAGCAGCTTCTCAATACAATCATGCAAATCTTGAAGGCCATTGAGCTTTAGGGATAAAGCAGATGATGAGATTGAGGCAGATTCAGATGATGCCAATCTGCTTAAATGCTCATCAACGTCTGAAGTAAGGGGGTGTGATCTAGAAGGAAAGCTGTTTGAACGAGAATGTTGAGCCATTTTCTTCTTTGGGGTTGGGAGGAAAAGAGAAAGATACTGAACAATTCTGTATTCAACTCAGTTTGCTTTGTTTCCCTCAGCATCTGCTCTATATATATTTCAGGGTGAGGAGACACAATGATTCTCATTTCCTTAAAAAATTGATTAAAGATAATAATGATTTCATTTTATCTACCCAATTTTGTCAGCAATGTTTATGCAGTGTCTCCTCTCTACCGAGACAGCACTCATTGCCTTCTATGCAATGAGATCTCAGATAATATGCAGCACATGTGTGGTGCTGGACAGTTTGAAGCTCGTAGCCATATTTCTCCCTTTCCTTCTCATGGAAAGATATTCAAGCACCATGCATGTGGAGATTAATGCATTGCCTGCCCTGTATTTCATATGTTCTGTGTTTTTCATGCATCATAACTTGAATAAAATCATAATGACTGGTCTTAAGCTAATTATGTTATGCTAAAAGCAAGCAAGATCTGCATGCTTGACATCTTCACACGTTGCCTAATGCATAAAAATGAGTTGTTCTTATAGAAAAATGGCATTTCAGAGAACATATTTTGATTATTCTCTCACACCAACACTTCACCTACTTCATAGTTCAGACAAACAGAAATGATAGGCTCCAACAAGCAAAATTGGAGACATTATTGTTCTGTCACGTTTTACATAGTATCCTTTTAGGTCTAGAGTCTTGGTTGATTACCAAGACTCAAGACCCAAATGGCCTCTGGTTGTAGCAGTCAAGATTATTGCCACAATCAATTCCCAGCATGTCACAGTACCTCTTGTAGAATCCAATCCTATCCTCTACCTTTGCATTCCAACCCTGACCACATTCAAGCACACCATTGATGATATTTGTCAACAAGCCATACCCCGAAACCCTTCCAGCTACCAGATCACTTCCAGACGGTGACCATCTTCCAGTTATCACATCATGGCACGAAGGCTTTGGTGACTGTGGTGTCATCCAAAACCAAATTGCTGACTTGAAGGATATCACCGCATCAGTTGTGAGCAGATCTGGGTTGTTCAATAGGTCCACCCCGATGGCTTTCCCACACTGCCCATAGTTGTAGTTCCTAAAAAAAATTACCAAATCCAACATCATTGTAATTCATTGTTCCTGCAAATTTGATTTTTTTTCTCAAACTTTAGTAATAAGAATATGTAATTAAGAGCTTACCAAGAAAGTTGAATTGGACCCCTACCAAAGTACTGCTTTCCAGGAGCACAAGGATAGTTTGGATCAGGGGCACAATAAGATGATCCAGGGTTTTGTTCTTTGATGAAGCAATATCCCCAAGCATAAGGACCATCTGGAGCACTAGCCCACCCACCTACTTATATATGCTTGTTGAATTATGTAGAAGAATTGAATTGGACGAACAATTTATGTCGAGTTGTAAAGAAAGAGTTAAATTCAACAAACCAGTAGTTTCATGGGAAGTTTGGGCCATGAAAGCAGCAATTTCCCTTTTCCGGGTGGCATCATCACCAGTTGTACCAAATTCAGGAAACGCCATAGCAGCTGCAATGAAAGCATCATAGGTGTAGAAGCCCTTGGCAGGGCAAACATCATCGTTTCTGTGCTTAAGCATTTGATCAAACATTGATCTTGTTATGAGACTGCCAACATCACCACCACCACCTGTTGAACACTGGCTTTGGCAACCACTGCTCATTTTGGTGAATATCAAGGAAGATGAGTGGACGAGATGGGAGAGGGTGGATGCATATAAAGTGGGAATATTTCTTGAAAAGCAAATTAAAATTTATTTATTAAGGGAGTACAAGAGCTACACCAACCCTTACAAAATGCAAGCTACACTTACATTTCACAAACTTAACCCCTGTTTTGTTTGACAATTTCGTGCAACAACTACGAGTGAAATTAGATATTTGATAGCCCTTGCAGGAAGTACAACCTTCCACCAAAAATTTACAGAGACTTAATAGCACTCCCTCGGGTTTAAAGTAGGAGTGACAATGAGAGACCAAATAAATTTTGATATCTATTCTTGACTTGTTCAACTGCGTTTGCTGATTTGAGTTAAGGTCCCTATCTTTATCCACTTTTATCTTTCGCACACGAATGACTTTATCTACTAAATGCTTGCAAAAGGGCATCATCTCCACATTTGTTACATGCCACTTCATCCTACAGAAATTGTTACTTGATCTTTATTAGAGAAGTGGGGGGTTAGTAACTTAGTATGTATTCACTTGAAAACACATGCCATACAAACATTCAACCTAAAAACAATTGACAATAAGTTGTGCAATGCACATGTTTCTTATTAAACTTTGGATGTTGGAATTTCCCACTTAACAAACTTTAAAATCTAGTAAAGAAAAAGGAAAATTGGCATAGAACATGCTAAAGGAAAGAAGATACCATTGATTGAGATATCATGCTCTTGTTACTTGATATCTACAATTTAGTTCAAAGCTACATGAATTCTAACAGAGACAGTTAGTGGTATTGGGTTGAAAAATTAGGTTACATCTGAAGAATTTATTTAAGTCCATATATCAATCTCAGAAGCTTCACAAGTGTAGCAGTGATACACCTTCTCAATCCAATGGTGGATCTGTGCCCAAATACCTGATATTTTACCTTTATAAAACACATGCTAATCACCGTTCTTTGACTTTTGTAATGAAAGTATTGGAAAATTTTCTTATCTAGTAGAAGGAGCATTTATATATTTACTAGATTTTTAGGCCTTCACTTGAGGTTTAACATGTGATATCGCAGATAGTCGGCTGATTTGCTGTTCAAATTTTGGCTACAACCTTGGAGGATACCCACCTGTTCACACTGGGGGAAACTATGGTTTAAAAGGAATTAATGTTATTGAAAATGGGAAGAAATATGACATTAAAATTCTGTTGAACTGAATATGTTTTTTTTATTCAAATATATGTATATTTCAATCATTTACAAGTAAAAAAGATTCTGATCATTTTTTGATCTAGTGGTTGAGTCTGTTAAGAAGAGAAACTCTTGTTTTGATCAAATGTCTTGACAGGCAGTTGAGTCCTTCTTCAAGATCTAGAATGCATTATTCCAAGTTGCTTAGCGGGCTTTGCATCTCCTTATGAATCACAATTTCAGATTTGATCATCTTGACAACAGCATCCACCTTTTCAAATTCATTAATGTTTCTCTCTTCTTCCTCGCATGCAATCCTTTTGAGACCAATGAACTTGGAAACCAAGGACCAGCTCTTTTATTTGATTGATCCATTGTCCCATAGATCAAGGACAATAAGGATTCAAAGACAGAAAGAGTGACTGCTTCTACTTGTTTTAACATGCCAACAATGGCCTTGGTCTGACTTTGATCCGAAGGAGAGGAGGAGGTGCATTTAGCTTCCACATGGTCTTCAATTTAGCCAAGGCCTTGCTTATGGCCTTTTTCACAGCTTTCCTGGAGGTCAAATATTTCTTCAGCTCAGCCACAATCTCTGCTTCACCACCACGTCTTCTATGCAAAACTGATTGCAGCTTAATTGTGCTTTCTTTTGCTTTGAGTACAGTATCCTGAGCAAAGTTGCAGATATCCAAGATCTGAAGAGATCCATCCAACAACTCATCAACCCATTTCCTGTTTTTCTATTGGGATAAAGTTTCTTGGGTGAGGGGAAGCTGAAGAAACTTATCAGCACAATTATGCAAATCTTGAAGGCCATTTAGTTTCTGGCTGATAGATGTTGATGATGTAGAGGTAGCTTCAAAAGATCTCAGCCGGTTGAGATGTTCATCAATGTTTGAAGCAAGAGGGTGCGGTCTAGAAGGAAGGCTGTTAGAGCGGACATGGTAGCAAGTTTGGGAAGCCATTTTTTCTTCCTAAGAAAAGAGAAGGCTTGGATGTTAAATGCCTTCAAATTCTGAGTTTTGCTCTTGATCACCTTGCACCTTCTGATGCATGTATATATACTAGCTATCACTTAATGCTAACAGGATTTTGATTTGGATCTAACCACTAATATTGGCAGTGTTTAGGTACTGTCTCCTCTCCACCAGGGTCTCCAACTAAGCAAAAACTATTTTAAACTGCAAAGATAGATGAGATTCGGTGAAAGAAGGCAATACCATACAATTTGTGATGTATGAGTGGTCTTCATGCATCCTGTCTCCTCTAAACAAGAACTGCAACAATCAAGTTCTGTCATGAGAATAAAAATTTATTTCTTTGCTCCAAATCTGCACGTAGGGCCCCCTTTACTTTAATTCTATGATTTAATCATCATTCTAATTGCTGGTTTGGTTTTTTAACATCTTTCCCTGAAATTTTACTTTTCAATTTTTATATCATAGCTCTATTAAAAAGCTTTCATTTCATTACAAACTGTCATAATTATAACATTTTTATCATTTCTGTTGAACCAAGATCATATAACTTTGTGACACTCCAAATCCCATACTGGGAAGGGAATTATGATTGTGAGTGACATATAAGAACTACAGTAACATCCTAAGCTTTACGCTTTTGCCTAGGTTGCTTCATTGTTTTGACTAATTAATCAATCCAACAAGAAAAAGTAGGTTCTTAAAAGATTGTTTTGCAAGAGGAAAGCAGGTCCTGATTCTATGTTCTTCTTAGAAAATAGCTTTTGGCTAGTAGTTTTGCAGCAAGGAATAAGGTTGTATTCTCCTAACAAAAAGACATGATGCAATTTTTTATTTTCTTAAATCATGTGAGATTTGATTCTACAACATGAATATCATTTTTTTATCAGATCAATTATTTTTCTTGAGACATTTGGAATCTTGACAGCTTTGATATTAAT